ACTGTCCAATCATCTAACCCACACTTCCTAAACCTACCTAAGAGGATGTGATGGGAGACAGTGTCAAAGGCCTTGCTAAGGTCAAGGTAGACCACATCCACTGCCCTCCCCTCATCCACCCAGCCAGTCATTTTCTCATAGAAGGCTATCAGATTGGTCAAGCACGATTTCCCCTTAGTGAATCCATGCTGACTACTCCTGATGATCTTCTTTTCCTCCCTGTGCTTGGAGATGACAGCCAGAATGAGCTGTTCCATCACCTTCCCAGGAATGGAGGTGAGACTGACTGGCCGGTAGTTTCCCGGGTCCCCCTTCTTGCCCTTCTTGAAGATTGGAGTGACATTGGCTATCCTCCAGCCCGCGGGCACCTCACCTGTCCTCCATGACCTTTCAAAGGGGCTGGAGCATCTCTCATATGAAGAAAGGCTGAGAGACCTGGGGCTCTTTAGCCTGCAGAAGACTGAGAGGAGATCTTATCAACACTTATAAATATCTAAAGGGCAGGTGTCAAGAGGATGGGGCCAGGCTCTTTTCAGTGCTGCTCAGCGACAGGACAAGGGGCAACGGGCACAAGCTGGAGCACAGGAAATTCTGCTTGAACATGAGGAAAAACTTCTTTGCTTTGAGGGTGACAGAGCCCTGGAACAGGCTGCCCAGGGAGGTTGTGGAGTCTCCTTCCCTGGAGATATTCAAAACCTGCCTGGATGTGTTCCTGTGTGACCTGCTCTAGGTGAACCTGTTTTGGAGGGGGACTTTGACTAGATGATCTCCAGAGGTCCCTTCCAACTCCTACTATTCTGTGATTCTGCGAATATCTAAATTAAATTATATTAAATGTGCTAATTTACATTTTACTCAGGCTTGGGCAAACTAAAGTTCTTCAGTAATACTGAAATCAAAAAGGGACACTACACGCTAGAAAACAGCACACCTACAAGTGCCCCACGCTCTCTAGCACTCTTCAGAATAGTTTAAGGAAAACAAGTGTCCCCACACAACCTGCAAGTGCCAAACAGAAAGCTGGTATCACAAAGGTCAAGACAGGAAGAAAAGTCTTTCTGTGATAACAGGAGTTGTCCAGCACACAAGACAGTGCAGCAGAAACCAGACTCCCAGGTGCTCTCCTGGTCACAGGATCAAAGAAAGAACAGCTACTCCTTCAACAACCAGACCTCGCAGGGTCAGTACTGAGAGTCCAGCTATAATCTCAGAGGAGTGTCTGAGACAACACCAGAATAGCAATCACTGGAATAGCAATTGCCTGCAGAACCTGAACACAAGCAGCTACTGCCTCATTCCTGCCCTCACTCAAGGTGCCGAGGACATGCAAACACATGTGTGAGAGAATAAAAAGCTTGCATGCTGCAGCGTCACATGCTTACACACCTTATACTCCTGAGTGGTAGAGGGGTACAGCTTCAAGGCTTCACGATACTGATTCTGATCCTTCACCAAGTTCAGAAATTCAGAGAAGTGTTCAGGACCTGCAAAAATTATTTTTTTTTTGTATCAATAAAAGAGAAGCACACGGCTGTCATAGCTCCCAGCCAGCCTGGGTTCACTGCATTAAGAAGCAGCTAGAGGTGCTTGTGTGGAAAAGCACAAAAGCACCTATTCTACTAATGTAAAATCAAGGTGTTCACTTCCTTAAGGTTTGCTCCACTTTTGCCAGCAATATTAACTGGGGACTAGTCACTTAAAGGAGCAAAACAAGACTTACGCTTTATGATCACAAAGCAGTAAACATGCTTACCCCTTTCTCCCTGTGCCAAGCTACACCACAAAAAACTGTAGCAGAACTAAGTTAACAATGCACTACCAGGAGGGAAGGTGACCTTGTGCAATCCTCCTTCTTCAGCTATTTCCCCCCAAAGCATCTCCAAAATGGAAATGTTTCACTGCAGAATTTCTCCTAAGAGATGCTGCATGTGCAGGACACCTACCACATTTGCTGAGGTGTCCAAGAGCTTTTGTGTATCTCTTCAAGTGTCTGTCTATTGTATACCGCTGATAATTGCTTTCCATTTTCTGGAGGGTATTTAAGAAGGGCAAGTATTCTTTTGGGTCCTGCAAAGAATAAACACTGCAGTTGAGCTAATCTGGTAAGATTCTCATTTGCCCCCAGCTTCACCAACAGATAGTCCCATATTTGAAACTGTATGATAATACACTAAAAAACCTTTTTTTTTTAAAAAAATGTAAGCCATCTTAAAGTATCCATTCTGTATATTTACTCTTGCCAGGAATTACTAACTTAAATTACCAGGCTCCCACATGAACTTCAGCAGTGTCTAAAGGCTGACGACATTTCAAACTCAAGGCTATGTATCATATCAAATATTGTTTTCTATTAGCTATTATCATGTATAAATTTGCAGCTGTAAAGCTGATCAATTTCCCCCACACCAAAGGTCATAAAACCTGTCAGGTCATAAAACCTGTTACAGGCTCTGCTGTAACATTAGGAAGCTCTGAAGATCCTGATGGGCATTTCCATTCAGATATTTCAAATTAAACCTGCTGGAAGATATACACTATTATTGCGGCCATCACCAAATAAGCAAGAATCAAGAGTACAGAACTGGCAACATAAGGAATGCAGTGACAACACTTCAGACCACAGCCCCTCCCTTTCCCAGATCTATTTTGCTGTCCTGCTCTAGAAGAGCCCTATTTCTCCTTCAGCACAAGCAAGTCTACAAAGCTGCACTCAAGAAGTACTAAGGGATGCAGAAACACGCCACCTTTCCAGCATCACCCCAAGCACACACAGGACTTCTGAGCAACTGGAACCCTGCCTGGGTAGAGCCATGACTATCAAAACATGTGGGCTGATCGGCAGACTACAAAGAACCTTTGGGAAAGCAGAAAAATAGTTCCTTGGCTGGAACTATAAGCCAAGACCTTTTGAGACTTCTCTGCCACCATGACGACTAAATCAAAGTCATATGTCCCCAAGGAATAATCATACAATTCATTGACATCCACAAGGAAAAGCAGGTACTTCAGTGCTTCTTCTGCACTCACAGCTTTGACACCTGGAGTAATGCTTTCTGTAACAAGAGAAAGAAGCATACAATCAGTTACACCACCAGCAGCAGAACCCTGCTGTGAGGGAGGGATGCATTATCAACCACATCCTTGACACCAGACAGCAACGATCAAAATAACAGCTCCTTCTGTCTTGCAAGAGGGGTTACTTTGTTTTCCCTGGGCAACTTCAAAAACCAGCCCAAGCATAGTAACGTGTTAAGCATGCAACAGTGACAAATCAGAAGCATCAGCACAGAATAAAAGCAAAGTTTGCCAGTTGGAGATACCAGGACCCAGAACGGGAACCTCCTATTCCATTCTGGGAGAACCAGAATTCTGATTGGAAAGACAGAACAGTTCTAACTCTGGGCTATCTGCTAACATACCTAGATAAAAGGATAAGCCGAGGGCACATACAGCAGCGTACCTTAGCTGATATGCTGCTGTTCCATTAACACACAGCTAGTTTCAAGCACATTTCTGTTTTCTGCCTGACTCCATGAACACCTTAAAGTAATTTTCAGGGTGAACCATGCTAACAGTGAAAGCTCCTGCAAACCACCCATTTTAAAAACTTTTGAGTTCCTGATACAAGACCTCGAAGATCATGAACCTTCTGGAGAGCAATTTCCATTTCTGGAGGACTTTTCTTTACGTGTGCTGTCAGTATTGATAGGCAGTATCTAAAGAAAACAGAAGCAGTCAATGAGAAAGCGAGAAGGCAGAAACATTGCTTATTCCTATTTTAGTACAGTTTGTGGAAGTTCTGGTTAACATTTTAGTAAAAGAACTCAAACCACTCAGGTATTTCAAACTTTTTAAAGGAAGGCAGGAAAAATGGGAAGAGAACAGAATATACCAGAAAGGCTTTTCTACAGCATGTCTCCCCACATATGTCACAAGACTGGAGGTGTGTTTCGAGTGGAATAAGCTTCCTTACCATGCTAGCATAACGAAGCAGCGAACATGTCTCTCTGAAAGCTCATAAAGCTGAACACAGTTTTCCAAATAAAATTTGGCACTAAAATGGGCTTTTTTTTTTTTTTTTTTACAAAAAGAAAGCTTTCTATGAAGTTATTTCCACTTTTATACATTCCACATGTACTATTTCAAAACAGCTTTCCCAGCTAAGGGGATGCTTTGTTTTCTGAAACCATTTGCTGAAAAGTGTCTAACTTTTCAAAAAAACAGCACCCCCCCGTCTGTTGCTCCTTTATCCACTGTTTCACATATAAGCGGCCAATGGTTTAACACTCCTTCACTAACCACTGTTATTATCCTCTTTTCCCATGCTATGTCCTTGTCTGGTGTCAATTCATGCAAAGAGGATCGTTACCAAAAAGGTAACTATTCAGCAACATGCAGTTGAAGATTTACAGAAGCAATTCAGTCTCAAATGAACAGCTGAGATCTTTCTGAAAGGCCAGCTGCTCCAAAAAGCCAGCATCTCCCTGAGATGACAATCTTGTTCATGTCTTTCTGTCCCCTATGCCACATAGACTGTTCCTAAATTGAGAGTATTTCTTAAAACCTTATAAGCATCCTGCATCTATTATTTTAATTCTTGTAGTAAAGTGTTGGTTTGCCATCTGTGGAATTATTAGATGCTGTGGCTTTCAGGACAGCATACTCAGCAGGCGGAAGGTATGGCTACATAAGTTTTGTGCAGCATAGGCTCACCTCAGAGGACCTGAAGCAAAATAACTGATGTTAAGGATTCTTCACTTTCTGCAAATGACTTACTAGAAATCTCTCTAATGGTTCCTTCACCTACAATAAGAAAATGCTCACTTTTGAGGGTCAATGTGTTCCATGGCAACTCTCATCACATCACATATGAGGTTCACTTTTTTCTGATCAGCATGCTGGTGTAGTTGAGCAGGACTGCTACCATTCAGAGACGGGTACATACTCTCCGTGAAATCTTCTTCTCTAAATAAAAACAGATACATTGAATACCAGCACAGTCCACCATACAGCCCAGCACAAAGACAAGAACATTAACATCACAAATTAATACTACTCAACAAAATAGCTCCTACGTCATTCAGTACTGACACAACCTTCCACACTACCAGAAAGCTCTCCAACATCTCTCATCTATCCCAATTGACTCTCAGCCAACAGAAGCTTTGAAAAAAACTGGTTGAATGACTACTTTGGTTGCACAAAAAAAAAAAAAAATAAAAAAAAAAAAATCAGAAGGCAAGATTTTCAAGATACAACTGTCTTCTACTAAACCCGCTATGGAGATGCTGAGCACAGAACACTTATGAAAATTACGTCATTTGCTTTTATTTCTAGACAAATATTTAAGGTCAGGTCAAAACTGAAAATAAAACAGAACAGCTAAGTCATAGCTCCAGCTCCTAAACAATTATTTACTTCGGCAACCTTGAGAAGTCCTGAAGCTTCCAATGCCCTAGAGTCTCTTGTCACTCAAGCTTTAAGAAACAAGTCAGGGTACCCGATTTGAGAACTTAAGCAAGTATCTTGGCCTCAGGCTTCAGACAAACAGTGCTGTCTTGCTCCTTTATACGAGCTTTCTCTGTTCACATCTACCCCTGTATATGAACTTTCTCTGTTCACATCTACCACTGTACAGCAAACCAGAAGACAAGTCAAGGCAGCCAGATGATGTACTAATCCCTTGCCGGAAAAATGTAATGGCTGCCTGCAAGCTGTCCCAACAAGACACACTGACTGCCCCTGAAACTATTCAGCTTACTTGAGTCTTTATGACCCAACATATCAGACTTCTGACTGACTCCTTGCAATCACACTGAAAAGCTGATGGTATTTTGATAAAATCATGTACCACCACTGATTACATGCGTGCTTCAATTTGCAGAATTATACTTACTTCAGTTCTGTGAGAAACAAGTTGATATAGTTCACAGAATCTATTTGCCTGATAAAGGTTTCTGCGTTTTCCAGAAATACCTGAAATGAACAGGACTATTACTACCGTTATTCACAACAAGTACATTAAGTACAAGTACAAATTCAAAGACCTTCTCTGACTGAACAAGATGGGGGAAATGCTAAATGCAATCTTGTCTGCATGAGGATGCAGCAGTGCAGAGCAACCACCTCTTCTGAAAACAGAACTGACAGCACCACCTACTCTTTTGAGCCCACTGTTCAATGTCCATGGATTCCAGGCTAGATGGATGTGGAAAACAACACAACAAAACTGGGCATACTTGCCTTGGGATTGTGGTCATAGAGAAGATTGAGGTTGATTCGCAGCTTCCTCATACACAGAAAAGCTTCCCGGAACATAAGCCTGGAGGAATGAGTCAAGTGGGATAGTTTACATAGTGGATAGGTGCAATATCTGCAAATAAAGGCAACTGACTAGCGGTAAGCAGAGACCCCTTGGGAAGGGAATAGCCTAGGCAATAAGCTGTGTAGATTGCCTTCAGAAAAAATGTGCAAGTCAATCCTGCTCAGCACCAGCCTCTGCACAGGGACAGACCAGTACACCAGGTTGAGGAAGCAACACAGGCCTTGCATTATTTTCTTCCTCTCTTAAAACAGAGAACTACATTTTAATCTAATGGACCAATTTCTGTTTCAGAAAACTTGAGTGTAAATCAATTAAACTAATAAAACATGAAAACCAGCAAGCTTTGTCATGAAGTGATTGAGATGTCCAGAGAATGGAGCAGATGAAGATTTCTCCCTCCAATACAGTTTCAGCATGCACATAAGCCCTTCAGCAGTGAAGTGAGAGGCACGTGGGACTGCTGAAAGCTAGACTTCTAGCTGCTAGCCCCAGAAACAGTTTTATTCCCACTAACAAAGTCAATTCCTTTGAGTTTAGCCTCCCTCCCTTCCCCAACACAACAAAGCCAGTCCAGCCAGCCTGCAGCAGCTCAGACTCGGGGAGGGAAGTCCAGAATACTCCAGTGCCATTTACCTGTCTAGCCACTTCCGAATCTGGGCAAGAACCAGAGCTCGGTGGTGAACAGTCTCCAGATTTCCTCTCGGCATCTATAACACAAGATCCACACAATTATTTCTTTGTAGTTTCTCTGCCTACATTGAAGGCAAAGCGAGGACTGGCCAATTTTCTGCTTGTTCACTTCAAAGGACATGCAATTTCAATGACTATGGAAAAACACTTGAAAATTCTCTCAGCTAGAAACATTCCTCCCTCAGGAGGCTGTACTCCACTCAACCAGACAAGACCCAGAGCAAGCTGATGAAGCATTCAGGTTAGCCCTGCTCTGAGGAAGACATTGGGCTACACAATTCCAGAGATGCCTTTCAATGACATCCTTCCCCATTCCATGAACCTCTGGTGGCTCTGAAGAGTAAGCTCAGCACTTCAGACAAACTTAGTGCCAAGACTAATGGAGGGCTGCTAGCAAACACAGCAAGCGTTGAACCCAACCCCCACAGGCATGCTTAAAATCACTCTGCATCCAGCCAGGAGATTTACCACAGCAGTACAGGGCAGCAGCTTTGTAGCACCGCACACATTATTTGCAGGTTGGCCACCTGCCCACCGAGACGGCCCCCCTACACCCTCTGACAGCAGACATCAGCAGACATGGGCAGAGCACTGACCTGCAGCACAACCTTCATGTCCTGGGGCACAACAGTGATGATACGTGAACCTCTCTCCACTTTGCGCAGGGTCTCACTGTTGGGTGCAGCAGCACTGCTCAGGCCAGCCTGAAGGGCTGAAGACAGCATATTTATTTATCAGCACACATGGCACACCACAGCACAGAGCCCCAGTCAGGCTTTCCTATGTGGCCCTGCAATGTTGTACTGGACCAAATGAGTCAACAGTCCACCAGCGATCTTCAACGGCTCCACACAGGAAGAGGACCTCAGTGCTAAGCACTGCTGTACACAAACTAGATATGTCCTCTACACAGCAGGGTCGTGAAGCTCAAAGACCAGATGAGAGGAGCACTGAAAGATGTAAAGGACCAGTAAGTTGTCATCCTGCCTTTCCTAGGGTCCTCATACCTCTCATAGGCAGATGCCACCAGAAACCCTACAGGGATTCCCTTCTCTACCACACACTCTCAAATATCACACAGCCCTCTCTCTTTTTTGGACTTAGAGGGGAGGGAGAGAATGCAGGACTAAGCTGTTGGAAACAGTGAAGGGACAAATTCTGCTCCCTACGAGAGGAATGTGATATACAAAGTCAGCTCCCTGTGCTCCTTGCTCTCTGACAGATTTTTGAAAGCAGTTCTCTCCCTCTGTTTCTTAAGCAGTTGGTCTGAGTGACCCAAATACAGCAGGTTCAGATGTAAAAAATGAGGACATCTTGTGGTTCCAGAACAATGGCCATGAGCTGCCAGCAGCAGGCAGACAGAGCTGGCATTTACCTTTCACGGATATGTTCTTCAAGCAGAAGCACTGACAGGTGTGGGAATTGGTTGTCGCCAACAAAAACTCATTGTATGTTGCAAATGAGGTGATGTTGGAAGCCACCTGTACAAAAATGATGAAATTTATTGCTGTATAGAGTGGAACAGGAAAGCTGCCTTTGGCAGAGGAAAATGGGATGCAATGAAGGGGAAAAACTCTGTTACCTCAGTATCATTAACAAAAAACCGGCATCGATCTGTAAGGCCCAAGATCACCTCCTGCAAATAAAAAGGATGACAAGTATAAGCTATCAGTATCACAACATCCAGTGTTTCACAACACTAACTAGCACTGGATTGAAGTACCTTACAATTAGGTACTGAGTACCTCATGTTATACTTAGAGAAGCTGGACAGAAAGTCATGCAACCTCTATACCAGGAGGGCTTAAGTGCCTTTAAGCACTTCTGTCTGGAAATCCAGCTTGCTCTACCCTGTAACAGAAACTGCACAGTAACAAACTAGAAGCAGAAACCATGCCAGGTAATTTAGCTTTTTATTCAGCAGTATTTGGTCCAAAATATCAGGGAAAAAGCACTAGCACAGAGCAGAGCAAAGCAACTCCACACAACATTCACTTGGATACACACTGAAGGAAAGAAACCCTGAAACCATCAGCAAAATAGCTGGTCATTCCCTAAGCTGCTGTAACTATCAAAAAAACATCACCTGTAGGAAACATCAGCAGCAGGAGATCTGCAGTAACTCAATGCAGCCATATTTGCTAATAGGTTAAGTTCAAATAAAGCAGAGCAAAACACTGTTTTCAAAAAGAGCAAGGCAGTGACTGCTGGAAATCTTAAATCTGAAATTTCTCACTTTTCAATGACATTATTCATTGCATTCATAGAATGGGAAGACTGGGTATTAACTGCAAGCCATCAGAAATGCTGTAGAAGACAAGGTAAGATCTGCTTTCATCTCTGCATAGGGCCTTATGGAGAACACCATTAAGAAGTATCACTGGATCCCGTGCAGAGGATCATGTTGCACATTTGACACAGCGAACAACTGAGTAGGGATTTTAATCTGCTCACAGTCTTACTTACTTCACCACTGATCCTTGTGATAGAAGTCTGCACACAAGGGTAGGGGAACCGAACAGCAGAGCCACTGCTAGTCTGCCAGGGCTCAAGGACCGGAGTAGAAGCTTCTAAAGAGCAAAGAAGATCAAACTGTTTTCCAGCCAATCAAAGAGTCAGACATTACAACCACATGACATGCATCTTAAAAAAACTAGAGCTGGCAACAAGCTACAGTATATGACAGAGAGGAGGAATGCTGACACAAAAATCCAGGACACAGCAGGCAAGAAGGTGGTAATTTCTATGAGCTCAGCATGCTGCACTTTTATTCCACTGTTGAACAAGAGAGAAGTGACAAGGACGTGGCAATCAGTCAGTACTTCTGAAATCACTAAACCAGTCACCTTATTTTCAAATCATAAAGTTTGAACTAGTGTTCTCAACAACATCAGCGGCTTTCTGACACAAATCTCTAATTTTGGCCCATTTCTGGGAGCAGATGGAGCATGAAAGGCAGGACCAACTACCAAGAAGAGTCACCCATGTCCCTGAAAGTCAAATAATCTCATTAAATCTTTTGATAAATCTGTAATAACTATACCTCAGAGCAGGTACTTTAACAGGGCCCAGCTTACCCCAAAGGTATTTCAGGATCTGTCTATCAGCCAGCTGCAGAGCTACAGTTTTGGTCACTGGGCTGCAGCACAGGCTGATCACTTCTCCATCTACAGGCACAGACAATCTGCAGCAAGACAGAGAAGACACAGAACATCAGCCTCCTGCATTTTTTGTGGCCAGATGGAACAATGCACATCTCTAGCAAGGACAGATACCTTGTTGATGTGAGGATCTTCTGCAGTCTTTTCACACCTACGTCAGCTGACATTGGCACCACAGCAACTCCAGCCAACAGGCATTTGCGAACTGTGCTAGTCACTGTCTGCATACTTACAGCACTCTGCAGAGCCCACACTTCTTTTGTTCTAATCTACAGCTCATATGCAAATAAGCCTGTCTTAGCTGCGTGAGTGCTGCACAAAGCAACTCTCAGGATCCCTTTGGGAAGCAGATTTCTGTACCCCAGATGGCTTCCTTTTGTGATCTGGTTTTAATTCAACTGACCCCACAAAGTCCAGCAGGTGAAGACGAAGAGGACACGAGTAATAAGGCTACCATTCCTCTTCTGGACCTTGATAATGGTAGGCAAAGGGTAGAATGGAGGAATTCAGTCCTGCCAAGGGCCTGGAGTTCAAAGGAACAGAGCTATCCTGTACTGACACAGGCATGCTAGCGTCCACCCTCTGGGTCAGGCTGGGTGTAGGGATTAGGACTACAGGCAAGTGCTGACCCGTAGGCAGCTTCATGAGCTGTTTGGTTCTCCTGCAGGAAAAGAGCTAAATTCCCCAACCCACAGCCTCCAGGCTGCTTGTCTACTGAGAGACTTAATTCCTTCTAGGCCCTGTCCAGAGGCACTCTCTGATTTCACCCACAACTGACAGATCTCTAGTACCGTAATTTCAGGCGCTCTTCAGCCCCAGCCACATGAGGCACTGCAGTCAGGTGGTGAAGGACAGACTGAGCAGCATGCTGACCCTGACCAACCACCAGGAAGCTGTCATCTGGCAGCCAGGTGAGAAATCGGAGCCCCAGAGGATTCATCACTTCATTGTTGCCGCTGCCCACATCAACCCTGTCACAAAACAAGAGAGACTGGGAAGCAAATAGATCCTAATTCCAGCAGGCCACCTCACTGGAGATATGAAGGTCTTCCTAGGCACAGCCTGGCTTTTCAGACACACCATGGCTAGGAGGGCTCCAGTGCACAAACACACAGTCACACAAAGCATGAATCCTGACACAGGCTGGGCTGGAGATGAAGGATGAGAACCAGGGAGCCCCATTTGTTTTCCCTAAGCAGTGGGGGAAATGCCAGTTGGCATGGGGCAGTGCTCCTGTGCCAACCGTGTATAGAAACAAATGTAGAGCAGGGTGGGGATTTTTTTACCTTGTCATTGTCCCTGCCATGCAAGCAGCTCTGTGTGCCACTATCCTGGGCTTGAGGACAAAGTGCAGCACCACAAGGCTAAGAGCACCAGGCATAGGAAAAGCTATCTCAGTGCTGTCACTGCTCCCACTAGATCAAAACCTCAGTCAAGGGGATCTCTCAGGACAAACTGCCCGCCGTGTTGCCCAATCCTTAGCACTAGTTGCAGCCACAGCATCAACACAATGAAACCACGTTACCTGACAGCCTCTTCAAAATCTTGAGACAAGTAGAGCTGTGACCACTAAAACAGCCACACACTACCTTCTTCTCCTCACTACAGCTATACTAGTTATATATTACCTGTAGGTTTTATCCAGGTATGGTGTTTCCACAGCTGTTTTAAACCCATTTCCACCCACGGCTCCAAATCTGACAGTGGGGTCATTCATTGTGCTCCGTCCTAGCAAACACAGAACAAAGAAGAGTTTAGAGATCCTGCCAACAGAGCCCCTTCCATCTTCATTCTTACCAAGAAGTAGATGCTACAGGAAACTATTATTAAGTTCAGAAAATACCATCCTTACATGTACAGCCAACACCTAATCCTCATTAACACTGACCTGAGGCATGTAGCTACCTTGTAATGTCACTGTACAAAACTCAAGAGACAGCAGCAACACTGTCTTGCCTCATAGCACGCTGAATATTACACTGTATATAAGACTGCTTTGGGAAGTGCTGGGTGCCTCAGATAGATCCTAGGTAGCTATTCACAGCCATTTCCAGTGCCAATCAGCAACTTGCCATCAGAACAGATTACACAAGATACCACTTGCTGCACTCTTCTCAAGCCAAAGCTAGGCAGGGGGATATTACAAGCTTAAACATATATCCAGGTGCTGAACACTGCCTTCTCACAAAGCCAATACACGACCAAAATGCTCCTCTGCTACCCAGACTACTGGAGATGAGAGAACTGAGCTTGCACCCACAGTTGAACCAGCTATATCTCACTCTGGACTACTAAAAACCTTGAGCGACCATCACCCTACTAGTCCGCCAGGGTACTGTTCTCACGGACAGAGGTCTCCTTCAAGAAGACACTGCAACATTCTCTCACCATATCTGTACACAGAGATCTTGTTATCAGCATCCAGGAGAGCCATGTCTCCACTATATTTGGGATCTGTGTGAAATGCAACCTGATTAACGGCTTGTTGGAGCTGGAGCTCATATGTACACATGGGTGGAGGCACCACAGCATGCTGGAATGCTGTGACAAGCACTTTATCTGTGGAAGAAAAGAGAAAAAAAAACAAGCTGTAACCGAGCCCAAATGTTAGTGAGGCTCTTCTCAGGTTCTTTACCAAAAGTAGGAACAATGTTACAAGAAAACTGAATCACCTCTGAAGTTTCCATCAATTACACTGTCCCCCAACTAACAGCTTTGTAGAAACAGCAGCTAACAGAAGAATTACCATAATCCCATCCAGCCTGCATCCAAAAGGCTATGCCACCTCTTCTGACCCTAGAGCTGCAAAGCAGTCCCACTGCTTACCTCCATCTATGACAGCCACATTTGCCACATGCTGGCTATTCTCCCCCATCCCATGGTCTGTGGTCCAATGCCAGTCATAGGAGAGGTAATGCCAACCCTGGCAGAGTACATGCAGTCTATACGGGTTCTCTCGGTCCCACAGCAGTGACACCAACTGATTTTCCTCCAAGCTACCAAAATGCAGACTTTGCTTCAGGTACCAGTGATAGTTCCCTGTGGTCCAGAGCTGAACTATAGAAAAACAAATGGTTACCACAGACCACTACTTGAGATCCATTCCAAACCCTCCCCACCACCACTGCTCTTCTAGGGGTGGGTTAAGTGCAATGAAAATCATAGTTCTGGTCTTCAGTCCATGGGCTGTGTCATACAACAGCCAGCAAATGAAAACCTAACAACAGACTTTGTGCAAAAGAGTCAATCCTAGGCTTCTTTTGAGCTCCCCTTGTGAGAAGGCACCCATGTTTTATGAAGGGCTCACACCTTTAGCATTCCATTAATACCACTTCCAGTTACTACAGCCTGGAAAACGCTTTGAGCTCAGACTGAACTACCAGTTCTTCCCAACCTGCACAGCGGTCTCAAAGCTGCAGGTAAGCCTCCCCAGTGTCTCCTAACCTGCAGATGAATATGCACTGCTAATCACATTTGCAGGCAAGCATAAGAGCCAGAGCCTCACACAGTGCTCTCACCGTAACTGTTTGGGTTGGAGTTTTCCACCTTCAGGTCTTCCAGCCATACAGCCAGGATAGTAGAATCTGCATTCCAAAGCAGTTCATTAACCTGCAGAAACAAACACAGCTCTTACTGATATTGTTGCTTCTGCACAGGGTGAGTATGTTTCCAACTGGTTTGTTGGAAGGATCATGAGTTGCTCCTTATTTTCAACAATGCAAGGTGCATGGGTTAATATACTAACATAGCCCCCGTGTACTGCAAAGCTCCTGACAGTCCAAGCAAGGCATCCTGAAGCAGAACCTGTCACAGTGGTTCCACACTGCTGAAGAGGCAATACAACCACAAACATGACAGCAGTGTTCTCTTCGCTTTCCCTGGCACTGACGAAGCATCTGCCAAAAGACCTCTCAACATTCAAAGGCAGAAGCTGAAGAAACACCCTAGCAGTAGCTTCTCACTTCTCTTATTTGCAATAATGTATGTCACCTCACTCTTGCAACAGCTGACATCCTGAACAGCATTTTTGAAGCATTTGCCTGGTAGAAAGTATACAGCGGCCAGAAGCACCCCAAGGCTACAATCCCCCTGTACGTGTCACTGTACTACGGGCCTGCAGAGGGCATTGCACCTTCTCCACAGGCTTCTTTGTTATTCTCTTTTCAGGTCACTTTTTCCATTGGGACCAGCACTAAGTGTTAAGTTAAAAAATTCCTCCTACAATCTGGAAAAGATCTAGTCCTCCTCTCCATTACATTCTAATCAAAGAAGCCCAGACACAGCACTTACTTTGAACTGCCCTTTCTGAAATGGGAGGGTGAACTCTCCATGAAGAAGTCCATTCTTCTCCAAGAAAACAACATCATGTCTGTTGGGTTTTTCTTGTGTGGATGCTATCACATTTCCAGAGGGCCTTAAAAAACATCCAAATGAAAAGTGGTTGCTCACGTAATCACTAGCTGCCATTTTAAACACCAATCATCTCGTATTTTATCCAGAGACATGAAAAAAAGGGTAGCAGAGGATATGTTTTCCTCAGCACTGTTCAAAATCAATAGGTCCAGCACAGACATTCTCCAGAGCTCATGACATCCTCAGGCGGGCAAGTAAATGTCTGCACTGGTAAAGGGACCTGTAATATTCCTATTTATACAGCTGAGTCCAAAAATGCTTGCCATTGAGACTGTGCAGAGAATCTATCCCTCCTACCCACATGTAATGCAAGTGCTACGCTTTTCAGGGTTTAAAAGGCATGCTGGATCAGAAGGAAGCTTTCTTGAAGTTTTGGGGAAAATAAACAAACACAGGAGAAATGAAACTGATACTGATCAAAGACTGTGACCAGGGAATAAAAAGCAAGACTGCTGCTAGCATGGCAACTGCTTTGCTACTCACTTCCAGGACAGTGCTTGTTCTAATCCTGAGATAGGCTCACTTGTTGACTGCAGCACAAGCTCTCTGTTCCATACTCGGACCTTCCGAGCACCTACAAGTTGAGACAGCAATGAGATAAAGGTACAAGAAAGCACTGGGAAGAGATTTTTTCCAATTTTATGAGGGTAGGACAGCAAATTTTGATGCATATGAATAAAAAGGAGTTTTCTCTTACCCTTAAGGGGTAAGAACTTATTCTGTCCCAGGTAGTTCTCCCATAGTATCTGAGTGACTCGAATTGAGTAGGAATTTCAGTTTGATGTAGCTCAGTCATAGCCATTTCCCTCTCCAACTTTCACCACAGAAGTGTTAAATTTTCCCTGTCAAGGTAAAATCCTCCCTAATCTGAAGTACTGAAGGTAAAAACCCAAACTAGTGGAACAGCAGTGCAGTCTGGTGTAGTTCGATATGTTGACCGATACATTTAAACTGCTCAGTCATATTTATCATGGAAGACACTAATTGCAATCTTACAAGAAATGCATGTGCTCATCACCTCTTTGGCTTTAGGGCAAAATCTAGGGAAAAGTATTACCGACATTTATAACAAAACTGTGTATGAGAGACAGTGGGTATGGCAAACCCACCAGATTAATCCATTTGGTACCGAGAGCCCACCGGAGATTGCTTAGAGCTTGAGTGGTGATTTAACACTGGTGAAAGAGGCAGTTCAGATACTAACTACTCAGCAGTAACCTTCCCTGGCTTCTAACTGGTCTGAAAATGAAACTGCAAAGAAAGTGTTCAAAAGATTGTGTCTAAAAAATGCGTCTGAGAACACCAAAACAGAAAAAAAGAGCAATTAACTAGCTCAACTCACCCTTGCTTTAAGTGGCCAGTGAACATCAGCCAGTTATTGCCTCGCCTAGTTTCTGCCTAAGAAGCCTCTTACACATGTTGGTATCTCAAAGAAGTTTGGTACCATACCTGTCTCCGGACAGACAGCACTCACTGCAACAAACTGCCCATCTCCTCTCCACGTCACCCGAGGCCTGCCGTCATCCCAGGCTGACGTAGGTAACACTTCCTGAAGAAAGTTGCATCAAAGTTTGGGAAGGCAAGTGTTGTCTTTGTCTAAACAGACTGCATTGGTAGACCAGCTCTTTCAAGAGCCTTGGCATGAAATTAATCCACTAAAAAAAAATCTTAAGGCTGCAAAGTTAAAAATTAATTACTCAGAATGTTATTTTAGGAAATACTAGAATTAAAAATGTAAATTCAGTCTGCTCCTTCTGCAAATGTGGATGACTGATGCCTACTCATATGATCACACGTCATCCTTCCCCTCCACCAGGGTCTCTGCTTATATACCAGCTGTGCATAAGCTGGACACAAGAGTGAGTCAGGGTTTGTCACCACCCCTTGGAAGGAGAAGGCCGAGAAAGGCATGCTATTCAGGCAGCCTGTATGGCAGAGAGGAGCTGGGATGAGAAGTAGTGCTCTCCAACGCGAACAGGTTTTTCACAGAACAACACAGGAAAACAAAATCATCTCAACAGAATACACATAAAGAGGCAGCTATTCAACTGTTTAACTTGTCAAACTAGGCATTTTCCCGGATGCAGCCAAGCATTGTTCTGTCTGTCCATAACAGTACAGCTAGAACAGGTCACATTTCATATCTCTGCACTCTAGCCTGCCAGGTTTCAGCAGGGAAGTTTTAATTTTGAAACTAAAGCACAAGAAAAAAAATCCGGCAGTGAAGTGTTTTTAGGTACTTGACTTTTTACCAAATAAAAAGTAGAGAAAACAAGACACAAACAAGGAAGTGTCAGATAAAGGAGCAAAGAGCTAAAATGTGCAGGCACATGGAGCTGCCTCAAATGACCGGTGCTGGTCAGTAGCCCAAATCCTTCTACTCTTGCCTTCTGGAAGCTCATACTTCTGTTATTTCTGCTCCTCTCAGTCAAACCACATGCTATTTCTCTTGGTCATATGGACATTTCAGTATATAGCACACATTCAGCAAAATCTTGTCATGTTGCTTTAAGGGTGGCTTTACCTCTGCAAGCACTAGTGCTTGCAAATCTTGCTTTGAGCTCTGTATGAACAGCCCTAAGTACTCCCAGCTGCTGTCTTGAATTAGGAGGACAAAAATACTGGATTTTGGATAACAACAGAAACAAACAGAAGAAGCCTACAAAGACAACTACCAGAAAGGTGGTGGCAAACTGGCACCGCAGGAATACCAAAAACTCTCTTTACACGTTTTCCCAGAGCACGACCCAACATGGGCCTAATATAAGATAACTAGTATAATACCGTCTGTTTGCGATGTGCTGCCTGTTTTCCCTCTGATCCATGGAACTGCGTCTCCTTTTTACCCCAGCCAAGAGCAACAAACTTTCCTGAAAAAGGAACAATCATTGTAGTGGAAGACTTACCACAATACTCTGCACAGTGCAGTAAACACAACCACAGCTCCAAGCCACCCAAACCTTCCATCCAAGTTTAATTCTAAAAACCTGCAGGAAATTTACATAGCCCAGAAAGTCTTCCAGTGTA